TTAAAACCCCCCTTTTGTTTTGAACCTCCATTCTGAAAGGGAAATAGTATTAAGTGTATTTTTACCAGTTAGCAAGACAAACTGAATCTTAAGTGTTAAACTTACAGGGGGCTGAGTGGATGTGCAAAATTTGCGATTTTACTCTTTTTTTCTTTTTCTTAATAAAATGTACTGCTAATCGCTTAAAATAATTCTGCCTCTAAGAAAACTGAGAAATGATTCCTTGAATTACTACTTATTACAACTAAGGTATGCAGAAGAACCTCTCTGAATACACAATGCATTAAACCTTGAAGCAGGAGCAGAAGACCACATTTCTTCTGCAAGATTCAGATGGTACGGTGATGGTGGTGTAATGTGTGGAGATATTTTTTGGCACACGTTGGGCCTCTTAGTGACAAGTGAACATCATTTAAACAACACAGCCTGCCTGAGTAATGTTGCTGACCATGTCCATCCCTTTATAACCACTGTGTACTAACTGTGGTCTTATCAGTGTACAAAGCTTAAATAATCTCAAACTGATTTCTTGAACATGACAGTGAGTTCACTCACTCACATGACTTCCTTTGAACTCTAGTGGACTTTATTGAATCTATATTACCAAGAACTGAAGCAGTTTAAAAGGCAACGAGGTGTTATTCAACAGCTGACGTTCCCTAAACTATGTAAAAGCTTGGCCTGCCTCAGTAACACTCTGGATAAAGACCTGCAACACAATTTAGCCCACTCAAGTGTCACTGCACTTTGAGGGCTCAGGTGGAGTAGCAAAGCACTATTTAAGAACCAGTCCATTTGCTATTTACCATGTCAACTTTTTCCATTATCACAGTTAAGTAGTGGAAACTGAAAAATCAGAATGTAAGCCAGAAAGTGAAATAGTTTTTCTTACATGAGACTACATCCACATTTGTATGTGATCAAATAAACTAAAGGTTAAAGGTCATTAACTGAAACCCAAGGGAATGTGGATCTGAAAATGAAAGTTAAGATAAAGAACATAGTGGGTGTTTATAGTGGTACACATTTTAATTGTTTGAGCATCTGTGTGCTTGGAGATAATCATCTCAAAGAAAACACGAAGATGATCAGAATGAGCATCATCAGCCTTCATTTTAGATACATTTAGAATCTTGGAGATGATCAAATGCAGCATTATGAGTGGGCTTCATCACATTTGTCATCCACCAGTCCTTATTTATCCAGAATACAACACAGTTCTTTCCAACAGCTGTGCGGTAAAAATTTACAAAATACCAACAATAGCTTGTTAGTCAAAATCCACGCACATTAAAGACAACTGTTCAGCAAATTCCAAGAAAAATAATTCTATTGTTCTTTTTCACTGTAATAAATGATAGACAACCATAAATAACTTTATAAATAAGTTACATGTCAGGAATGAAAGCCTTCCTCAGCTTGTTAGACCCTGACGCCCTAAGAAAATAAATCATGGATGCAGTTTTAGAGGAAGCAGTATGACTGTAAAATTATGCATATCTCCAAACTTTCAACTAAAATGAAATATTAATTATTATCTTACGTTTCTGCTTGTATTTAAATGAATACAAATGAAGGTAATGCCAAACTAAGTTTTCTACAGTCATTCGAAGCTATTCGAAGGGTTTATTTCATTTCTTTTTTCGTCACATAAATGTGTTCTTCTAATTGGGAATTTTAAAAAAACAGATGGTGTTTTGCTTTTTTTGACACATAGTGATAAAATCTTTCAAATGACACGGAGATTAAACAATTTAATTAACTATTTCTTAGACTCTGAAAAGTGCGCAGGGCTTATTGATCTCAGCAATCAAAGAGGCTTACTAAAGCTCAGCAGATCTGTACCGGAAAAACTAAATAAACTGCTTAAGCAACGTAAATCACCCACTGTGAACACTGCTGCAATGCAGAATCAACAGCACTAATCAGCTCATGCAGGCTGAGACAGTGTCTCTTTAGAAAACTAAGCAGCTGGCAGAAGGAGTACAGAGCTGGAATTCGGGTCTCTGTAATAGCTATGACACCATAATTTTAGAATAACACCTTCACTATGGAGAGCCCACTGGAGGAACTGGGGGAACGGGCCATTTTCCTCAAACCATTTCATTGCCTTCAGAGAGACTTTAGAGACTTTTGGGCTTTGCTGCTGTTCTAATAACAGGTATTGTTCCCTGAAATTTTTTGGTCTATAACTAGTGCCTATGCTTCTATGTTCTCTCCAGGCTGACATCTAAAAGTGTAGAAAGCTTCTGCTCATCATGGCAGGAACCCTAATTTGCTACACAGCTCACTTCTCCATCTGAATTCTGTCTGAGACCTTCCTCCTATAACCACCCCAGTGGCTCTCTGGTAAAATAACAGTGATTTGATGGTGATGAATGCCTACTTTGCTGCTAAGAAGTTCTTAATTTTAAATGACATTCTGTCAAGATCAACTAGATTTTATGCTTCTCTCTGAGAAGCATGAGAACATCTCAGATTTCTTAAAACTACATTCAACACACTGTTCATTTTTCTCTGCACCAGATTTCTAGTTGAGGAGGTTGAACTGCCAAAGAATTTTAAAAATAGACATTTTTGTGTCAGTTGACTTTTTCAGTCTCTAGTTACTCCATCAAGCTGAATATAATCCCAATTCTAGAAATTCACCCATTGTATGGTATTATAATATATAAGCAACCTGGTTCTGCTGCATATTTTCCCTTGGACTTTAAGACTTTAATTTTCTACCGTTGAAAGCAGGCAGAATTATGATAATCAGGCATATCAACATTCCTGCTGAACATATATCAAACACTACTACTGCTACTAAAGAGTCCTTCAGCATTATAAACTCTTATTTTGGTTCCAAGTGTTCTTTTGTCCATCTAATAAGTTCAGCATTTGAAATCTTGAATGTTGAACTTAGCCCAGAGGGGAATATTTGATTCCTCTCTGAGCTTTAACTCAGATGTAAAATGTATTTCCCATTCTTGTTTCTTTCATTTAAATAGCTTTTTTTTTAAATTGCTGATGGCTTCTAACTACTGACATATTCTAGTAAGCAAGCTCAAATTACTTCTATTTTACATTCTTTACAGTGGTTCCCAAAATTAGAAATCGTTGAGCCCTAAATAGACATACTGTAGAGTATTTAGCCTATCTTATACTATATTGCTTTCTCTCTCTGAAATCTTAAAAAAAAGACTTCTATTGAGAGTCTTATTGCTATTTGCTTAAATTCATCTATTCTGTGCCTTAAATTGCTTTTAACCCTGGAGAAACAATGGGGTCAAATTTGACCCCA